AGCCGTCAGGTCAACAGTCATGTGACCTGCAGATTTGAACTGAGAGACAATTTAAAGCATCTGCAGGTTTTGAGTTAATGATCTGATTAGTGTGGAGCACCAGGGGTCTTGAGTACTAAATCTTTCCACCATATTCTAATTTTCTGAGGTACTGAATTTGTAGTTTTCATTAGTTATGAATTATAATCAACACTAAAAGAAAAAACACTTCAGTCTGTATGTAATGAATATATTATACAAATGTCACTTTTTGAATGGAATTACTGAATTAAATAAATTTCTTCATAATATTCTAATTTTGTTATTAGAATAATATTGTCAAAACCCCATAACTAGTGTAAATAAGCCCAAATTAAGCTATTTATTTGTTGTATTCTTTTTGCGCTTATTGCTTTTAGTTCGTTTTATTTTGTAAAATACATGGCTGACTTCCGGTTTTTAATTTGATGCTTTTATTTTGATGAGAGCGCTTCCTCTGTTTATATTATAGAAAGAACGGAAGAGTTTATTTTGCGAATAAAGATATTGTAATATTGATCGGTCGGAATTGTACATTTGTTTTACAAACACCAGGACAGTTTTGAATAGTTGATATTTTAGTAGTGAACGTCATGAGTTCACCATCAGCTCGGTGTTCATATCAGTGAAGCCACAATCCTCCATCTGCTAATGAGGTGATTGACCCGTTAGCAGAATTAATCTCTTTATGTCTTTAAGAAGCTTCGTTTATCTTTATTCTTAATATCATTTCTCAAGTTTAATGAGGCTTGAAGTTAATAAAGTTACATTTATTTAATCCCAAAGGGAAATTTAATCTTGTAACTTATATTAATTCAAACTTTTCAGAGTTAATGTAGAAATAATAAAAATGGCTCCAATATATTTTCGATTTGAAACGTTTGGATTTGATGTGGAACTGGTCAAACGTTTAGATTTATATAAAAATAAAGTCATCACCCCGATTCAGTCCTGGATTTATGGATATAAATATATATATTGGTGCTTATTTCACTCACTCAGACACAAACATTTATTTTTCTCAGGATTTTTTCACTAAAATCACCTCGTTTATAGAAACGTTAATGTTTCAGATCCTCTGATCAAAACAAGCCAACGGCTCCGACTTCATCTCTACACAAAATCATCCAGCGATGAAAACGGCCTTTTAGTTCATCCTGGTAAATATAAATGATATAATAAATGTAATATAATAAACATGGGGAGATGAGTTTCCTTCTCACAGTGTAGAAAATATTTTTTATTCATATTCTTTTCGAGAACTGAATTAGTTTTCCTGATTTAAACGTTGCAGCTCATTTCTGCTAAGATGCTAAGCTAGCTGTGGCTCCTTGTCCTCTGTATCATCACCCTAATCTCCATCAGCCTGCAGACGAAACTCTGGGCTGAAAACCTGCAGCTCAGCGTTTGGGACACATTTTACACTTTACATGAATAAATATTCATATTTAATGAACATCGGATTCATTTACCCCACTAACAGAATCTGTAACATCTAATTAGCACATCCTGTCTGTGCGGATTAAAGCACAAATGGTTATTAGTCTAATAACATTAACATATAATAATTTAAGAATATAATACTAAAGTGCAATATGATGTGTTGCTGTTGATCTTTATCTGCCAGGTTCTACTGTAGAACCTGGTTCTGATTCAGAGATCCAGCAGGAACTGAACTGAACCTGGAGGAAAAGCAGCCAAACCTGGAAAATCCTGGAAAAGTGTGTTTTCAGGCCCAGAGAACAGGCAGCTCACCTGGACAGGTGCTTTATTCATCATCATGTTCTGACAACTGAAACAGGAAGTGTACAAAAATAACAGCAGCCAATCAGCTTCCAGGGCCACTGTGACATCATCAAAACAAAATCAAACATTAACATTGCTCTTCCTCCTGAAGGTGAGGAAGAGGAGTCATCTTCTCTAACACACACACACACACACACACTGGATGATTCTCCACCCGGCTGCAGCTACTTCCTGGTAGCAGGAGGCTACTTCCAATCTGAAGCTGCTGATCTGATCAATGATAGGCTGGAAGGAGAGTACTAGCTAGCGCTAGCTTTGGGTAGGCTAACAACTAGCATGCCTAGGCTGGTCCCCCACTTCATCTGCTGTCCATTAGCATGCATAAGCTAACTGTAGCCTTGGATACACTGGTGAAAGCCTGGTTTAGGTTAGCATTAGCTCTAGCTAAGTAGCATGCATAGCCTGGTCCCTCATGACTTGAACCTTTTCCTCTAGACATGGATAAAAATGTTTCTCGTACATTATCTGTAAGCGACATCCATTAAATGTTGCTTACATTGATGTCGTGTTTTGATAGTTTATGGTAAGAAGACACAAGCAACTTGCTAGCCTACTCAATGCTAATGCTAGTCTAGCAAATGCTAATGGACAGCAGATGAAGTGGGGGACCAGCCTAGGCATGCTAGTTGTTAGCCTACCCAAAGCTAGCGCTAGCTAGTACTTTCCCTTCCAGCCTATCATTGATCAGATCAGCAGCTTCAGATTGGAAGTAGCCTCCTGCTACCAGGAAGTAGCTGCAGCCGGGTGGAGAATCGTCTGTCACTGAAACATCTGTTTATTCATCTAAACCTGGTTCTGAAGGTTCTGGTGGTTCTGATGACCCATTTTGATCTGAGCAGCTCAGACTGTAAACATTCATCTTGTCCTGTTCATTAGAACCTCAGGTGTGACACCTGGACAGTCTGATGGGACGCTGAAGCCCCGCCCCTTTGTCTCTGAAGCTGGTCTCTGATTGGCTGATGTGGAACCTCAGTGAATTTTAAATAAAGGTCCATTAAAAAGGTTTTGCCTGTCGGATCCAGACAGAGCCCGGTTCTGGTTCCGGTCAAACTGACCAGTAGGCGGAAGCAGTTCCTCTGTCAGCCACTGGGGGAGCACAGGCGATCCGAGTCAGAATCGGGTCAGAACCTCAGCTGTCTTCCTCGGTTCTGGCGCCGTCACTCCGGATCTTCCACTCGTCTCCGACTTCCTCCCCGATCTCGATCCGCGTCTCCCGTCTCTCTCTGCTTGCCTCCTTCGTCTCCTCCTGTCTCTGATGTCCCTCCTCTTCCTCGCTGTCCTCTAGTGTCTCCATGTCCTCCTGTCCTCCTCTTGTCTCATGTGCAGAGTCCTCCGTCTCCTTCCTGTCCTCCGTCTCGTCCACTTTGGACATCGGTTTCTCCTCAGATGTCTCCTCTCTGTCCCCGTCCTGGTCTTCGTCCTCCTGAAGTTCAGCTGGTTCTGTTTCTGCTGCGTCTGGACCCAGCAGGATGCATGTTAGGGTTCTGATGAGTTCCGTCTGCTGGTCCCGTGGTTCCGACCCGGTTTGGTCCTGCAGGAGTCCGGTCAGCTGGAAGGACGTCCTCCAGGTGTGCGGCAGGCGGCGCAGGTGCATCATGGCGTCCAGCAGCCAGTCCACCAGCATCCGGGTCACGTTGTCCTGTGGCTTGTGGGTCGGGTCGTCCAGCTCTGGTTCCGGTCCGGCGGCGAACCGGGCCCAGCGGGCCAGCAGGAAGCGCTGCAGTGCCGGCTTCAGGCAGACGTCCAGCGGCTGCAGGCAGAAGGAGCATCCTGAAGGGATGACAGCCGGCAGGCTGCGGGCCGCGCTCAGCGCCGCCAGGAACGGGTCGGCCAGGTGCTCCCGGTGCCGGTCCAGAACCAGCAGGGACTTCCCGGAACGGGCCGGGCCGGATAAGTGTGGCAGCCAGACCTTGGTGGTCCAGAGGTCCAGGGCGTCTTCGGCGCTCAGGCCGTCCGTCCGGACCTCCAGCAGGGCAAGGTCGGGCGGCGCCACCTGCGGGACCGGCCGGCTGAGCAGAACCAGCGCCGGCAGCACGGCGCCGTCGGCCAGAACCGCCAGGTAGACTGTGAGCAGCGGTGTGGATCCGGATAGCTCCAACGCCTCGCGGCGCCTGGATCTGTCCTGGACCAGCCGGAAGTCCACAAAGACGCAGAGCTCGTCCATGGCGGCCACGGCGCCCTGCGCCAGCCGGTGGGACCGCACCGCCCGCCGCATGAACTCCCGGAAGGCGCAAACCTGGGCCTGCAGCGGCGGCGGCGCCGCCCGGCCCAGGCCGACAGCCCGACCCGCCCTGCAGACGCCCAGCCGGTGGCGCAGCAGGAAGCCGACGGCCCAGTCGTAGGAGATGCGGAAGGCGTCGCCGAACGCCTTCTTCTTCTTCAGGACGGACGCTTTGTTGAACAGGTTGCTCTCGGTGAGCGGCAGCTGCTGCTCCCGCATGGACAGCACCCAGGCCACCATGCGCGCCGCGCCGTCCGCATGCTGCTCCTGCTCTTGAGCCGGCCGCGCCTCCCGCAGCCAGCGGCGGATCAGCTGCGGGTCGGTCGAGAAGACGCGGGACGCCTGCCGCAGACCTTCGCACAGCGCAAACAGGATGATGCGGAGCTGCCGCACCGATAGCGGGCCGGGGCGCACCACGGCCGGCTGCGTCGCATCATGGCTGCCGCTTTCTGTAGGCGGACTGGACTCTGGACCGGCTCCAGTTGGGTTCATGTCCTCCTCATCCTCCGGCTCGTCCAGCGGCTCGTCGTCGGAAAAGTCCAGGTCCTCCACCGGGCCGAACGTCTCGTCCACGCTGACCTCATCCACGACGATCTCTCCGCTGCAGCAACAGACACGTGGTTACCACACCGCTCCACCAGAACCAGGCCAGAACCGGAGCGCCACTTACCTGAGTCTGTCCTTCAGGAAGCCCAGCTTTGTCGACCCTGTAACAGAGCGCAGGTCAGCATTTGGACAGGTCTGAACCGGTGCTGGAGTTGGGGGACTCACCCCGGTGGAGCGGCGGCAGGCCGTGGAACTCCCAGAAGCAGTTGGGCCGCTTGCACAGGTTGGCGTCGCAGACGGTGCAGCCGTACACGCTCTCATGCCGCAGGTTCTTCATGTTGCAGTTCCTGCAGCGCTTGGAGATGCTGCTAATCTTCGCCATCTTGTGCCGCTGCTGGACGGGCTCCTCAGCGGCGGCTCGGGCCCCGCGGGGTCCTGGCGACTCCGGCCCCTCGCCGTGCCTCTGGGCACAGCGGGCCAGCTGGTTGCCAAGCCGGCGGCGGAAGGCCAGCTGGCTGAACAGCCCGTCCTGCACCCAGGCGGGCGGGTTGTCCTTGCGGCTCTCCCGCAGCACAATGAAGGCGTTGACCACGCTGAGGTTGACCAGGAACCAGAACAAGTTGCGCCAGTGGCGGTCCTGCGGCACGCCTCCCAGCGGGTTGCAGGCCAGCAGCTGCTTGCAGATGTCCACGCCCCGCATGTTTTCCTGCAGCAGGCGGAAGGCCATGGGCCGCTCGATGGTCACCAGCCCACCCGCCTTGCTCCTCCAGACGGCGTCCGGCTGGCCCGGCGCCGCATTGGTTGACAGGCAACCCATCTCCTTGGTGTCGCGCCAGCGGGTGACCAGCAGGGGGCCGCACTGCCTCTGCAGGAAGTCTCCCGGGTTGTGAAGTTCGCCGTCGTCCCACAGCGGGCGGGGCAGGATGGGGCTGGGCGGCGGGAAGGAGCTGCAGGCGTAGATGTTCTGCTTCAGCAGCATCTGCATGAGCGGGATGGAGGCCAGCGAGTTGGCCAGGAACAGCTGGTGGTGCTTGTTGTCCAGGTCCCTGACCAGCTCTGGCACCACGCTGAAGCCCAGGTCCAGCCCGCGCCGCCGCCCCAGCTGGATGGACAAGCGATGGCAGTAGCCGGACTTGGAGTCGCACAGCAGCCAGACCTGAGGCTGGGCGCTGCCGCCACTGCCTCGCTCCTCCCCGCCGCCTCGCTCCTCCTCCCCGCCGCCTCGCTCCCTCTCCCCGCCGCCTCGCTCCCCCTCCCCGCCGCCTCGCTCCTCCTCCCCGCCGCCTCGCTCCCTGCCGCCTCGCTCCCCGCCGCCTCGCTCCCCGCCGCCTCGCTCCTCATCCTCCAGGCTGGGCAGCAGCGCCCGGTCCACAGCCAGGCAGCAGTTGGGCCGGTAGGCGTCCCACATGGCGCCACCCAGGAGGCCCAGCATGGGCCTGAAGGCGTGCAGCGGGTCGGCGGAGCGGCCCGGGCCGTGGAGCTCGCCCACGAAGCTGCCCATGCGGAGGTGGGCGGCTATCTGCTGGAAGCGGCGCAGCGGCATGGCGCGGTGGAAGGTGTAGCTGTTGTCAAAGTGGTTGAAGGACCAGTAGTGGGCCGGGTCCGGCAGGTTGTGGACGCCCATCAGGATCACCAGGCCCAGGAAACCTTTGACCTCCCGTCCGGTGATGGGGACCCAGTCGGGCGGACAGCAGCCCAGCAGGCGGCACGCCTTGGCGTGGGCGTTGGTCTCCTTGGCGATGAGCTCGACGAGCGCCGGCGGGAAGAGCAGGCTGAAAAAGTCGATGGCGTCGCTGTTCTTGGACAGGAAGTGGTTGGGCCCACTGGGCTGGGTGAAGGACAGGATCGCGGTCCGGGAACTCTCCTCCGGACGTTTCCAGCTCTCTGCCAGCTTCCAGGCTGGTTCTGCTGAGACCTGGTTCTGGTCTGGTTCCTCTGCAGACCGCTGCTCTGCGCTGAAGCACAGCAGGATATCAGGCTCCACGTACTCTGGAAAACAGAAAAAGAGTGGTTAGCAGAACCTCAGGTTCTGGCTTCACTGCAGCCCTTCAGAACCTGATTCTGACTGAGAACCAACCCACAGCTCAGGAAGCTGCTGACCTTCTGACCTCTCTGGGTTCTGGATCCTCAGCCGGGTCCAACAGACATGACATAAGATCACATAACCACTGCTTGTGGGTCGGAGGAGCAGGACCTTCCACCTGGTCAGATCTTTGCGCCTCGCTAACAGCGAACAAAATGCCAGTACCTGCCGTTTAAAGGCTGGTAGAGGCAAACCCTCACCACGGAAGCCAACAAGAGCCAAGAGAGGCCCAGGTGTTACTCCGGCCAGCCTGGACATCGTACGGAAGACATCTGTCCAGAACCGACCCAGAGCGGGGCAGGACCAGTAAGGGGTGATTTCTGGATAGAAACGACAGTTTGCTTTTGGAGAGATGGACTCTGTACCATTTTGAACTGAATGAGGCGATGGCGTCACACAGAGATGTTGTATTCACCAGGTTGAGTATAGAGTGTAAGAGCGGAAATACTAATTAAGGAGTTGTTTGGCGGGAAAAAGACCTTGGCACCTCGGTTCTGTGGAAAGAGACTTTGGCTTCGCACCAGGTCAACCTGACCGAATTCTTTCCTTCCATTTGCGTGCAAAGCGCAAATGGAGCCAGAATTTACTGGAAAGGATGTCTGTTTGTGCAAGATAAAATCAACAATTTGAGATAAATTGTCCTATTCAGCAATTCTGAAATGGAGCAGATGTTGAGTTCGTGAGGTCCAAAATATTTTTAAAGGTCGCCCAATACACACTCAGTATGAAGCGTGCCTGAATCTTTCTGCAAAACAACAGTTGCACGCCATTGGTTGAAACTTTCCAACACACACTGATGAAGATGAGAAGGTATAAAATAGGTTGATGTTAAGACTTCGGGGAGATTTTTTGTGACAAGACGATGACGATGAAGATTTTGTACTGAACTGAAGAAACTGTAACG